AAAAAGAATAGTGTTTCATACTAATAGATGCAGTGTGAATAATTATGTACTTAGACAAACACTTGCATGCAAATTTTTGCACAGAAATGAAAATTCATCACACATTGGCAGTCATTTCAGCTGTAGGTTTTGATCTAGGCACTCATTAATTTGCCATTAATGTTAGAAACTGCCATTGGCATGAGGACAATAGAGGAATAAAAGGCACAACTCTAAAACTAGCCATCTAGGAAAGGAGTTAACACATTTTAGAAACAAGGTCTTGCCTCTGCAATGTGACAATCCAATATGAATGCAGCCCTTGTTGGATGCCTGGCAGGTGAAGTAACAGACCTCATAGCAAAAGGAGATGGTGGGGGAAAGCCCTAAGATTTATATATATATTTATAATTAAAAATGTTCTTCATTCTTCATTTCAAAGAGGAACAAACTGCAGTACCAGAATACAGGCAAAGAAGCAAAAGCACGGTCTGCTCACTAACCTTTTACAGCTCTTCATTTCACTCCATGCAGCCATTTGCCTTTGTGGCAAAGCCTTTGCTACAGGCTTGTGAGCATGGGTCAGTATATAGCCAGGGTGGCTGGAAAAGCTATCAATTTCAGCTGCCTATCCTTACAAAGGTATTCTCTGTAGCACTGGAAACTTCCACAAAACCACCTTCTTATTATAATACTGATAAAATCCCCACAAAATTGGTTACTATCTATATAGCTATGCTAATTTTGTGGGAATTTCACCACTGTTGTAATAAGTGCTATATCATTAAACCTCCCATAAGCACATACACACACAGAGATACATTTATCATTGAGTATTGTAATAAGTGCATTAACATTCCTCCACATACACACACACACACACACATCACTGAGTGTTGTAATATGTATTTTAGCATTCTATCTCCTTTGTGTGTGTATATAGAGAGATATAGATATATTCATCACTGAGTGTTGTACCATCACTCCTCCCATATATATGTATGCATGTGTGTGTGTGTTATATATAAAAATGAATGTTGTAATATGTGCTTTCGTATTTTACTTCCCATACACACACACACACACACATAGATATACACATATGAGCAGGATGAATACTGAAGCACATCTTTTGAAAGGTTGAGACCCAAAGAAATGCTCAAAGAGGTTAAGAAGAAAAGGGCACAAGACTTGTACAAGCGAGAGGGAAAGAAACATTTTTAGAAGTATCACTAAAACAGATTTCTCAACCTAGTATGAAACACTTGGGTCTATGCAAGGTAGCTCTGTCTTCTTTCCTTCAGCTCATCCTTAACCCATAGTGGAGTTAACTGGAAGCACCTCCCTGTTATATTTTACATCGTGCTCCCTTTACCATAAAGGAATGGGCTGCAGTCCCATAAAGCACCATGGAGAGCTACAACTCTCCGTAGACTTCTTTCCAGAGCAATTTGGAGTGACCTTTTATATTTTTGATGTGCACCAAGCAGCTCTTACACATCTCCTCCTCTGCTTTTTAGAACTGAATCATACAAACCTTTGAAAGGTGATATATACCATAATGTGTAAAATAAAACACATATACTGAATGAAAAGCATGTATACAAGCACTCCCTTAACTTATTGGAACAGCCACATTTTATATTTTTTATATTTCTATACATTTATACAGATCTTAACTGCTTAAATGTGTTATTTATGAGTCCTGATTGACCATATGTTCTCGCTAAGGTTGTTTTATTCATTGATTTTAATCTGTCTATTTTAACCATTAATTTTAATTATTGATTTGTTTTGCTTATTTTGATACTATACATGGCATTGAATGTTTGCCATTGTTTCTGGAAGCCTCCCTGAGTCCCACTGGGGAGAGAGGGTGGATTAGAAATAAAGTTTATTATTATTATTACTCTCTATGTATAAAAGGTAAAGTTTTCCCCTTGACATTAAATCTAGTCGTGCCCGACTCTGGGGGGTGGTGCTCACCTCCATTTCTAAGCCGAAGAGCTTAGAAATGTCCATAGATGCCTCCAAGGTCATGTGGCCAGAATGACTGCATGGAGCATCATTATCTTCCCACCAAAGCAATGCCTATTGATCTACTCACATTTGCATGTTTTTGAACTGTTAGGTTGGCAGAAGTTGGGGCTAACAGCAGGAGCTCACCCCGCTCCCCAGATTAGAACCACCAACCTTCCAGTCAGCAAGTTCAGCAGCTTGGTTTAACGGCCTTGCAGCTTGTGCCAATGGGGGTTCCACTCTCTCTCCCTCTATATATATATATGCTCCCTCCATCCCTCCCTCTCTTCATATACATATACATACACACACACACACATATATATATATTGCCAAACTCAAGGTCTATGTGGCAAAAGTCCACCGTGTCATTTTATGTGGCCCTCCAGATGCTCGACTACAACTCCTGTATTCCTCATCATTAGACATCATGACTGGAGCTGATGGGAGTTGTGATACAGGAACATCTGGAAGGCTGATGTTTGTTCTGTTTAGTCAGGATAATGTGGTCTAAATTGAGATACAAGGCTTGCGGATATGATGCCTGGATTCAAAATTCCTTTTCATCTTTCCCTAAACTTGTAAACACAAGTGCTATTGGGTTGCAATTCCCATTATTCTCAGTCCACATTATTGATAATCAAAAGTGATGGGAGTTGTCATTCAATAACACTTGGGGACCTAAGCGTGGTAAAAAGTAAAGAGCAAATACCACTGTGTAAGCAAAATTATAGTTGGCCCTCTATATCCATGGATTCAATATCCCTTTGAAGGCAACCATAAGGCTGATGTGGCCTTCAATGAAAATGTGTTTTACACCCCTGCTCTCACTTTCTGAACACACACAAATAAATTAAAAAATAGAAAAATGAGGAACACAGTTCAGCTCCTTCAGCCCCTTTTCCCCTGTGCTCTAGCATCACCTATAATGGGTTGCTGTGAGTTTTCCAAGCTGTATGGCCATGTTCCAGAAGCATTTTCTCCTGACGTTTGGCCCACATCTATGGTATGAATCCTCAGAGGTTGTGAGGTCTGTTGGAAACTAGGCAAGTGAAGTGTATGTATCTGGGGAGTGTCCAGGATGGGAAAAAGAACTCTTGTCTGCTTGTGGCAAGTGTGAATGTTGCAGCTGGCCACCTTGATTAGCATTTAATGGCCTTGCAGCTTGAAGGCCATTAAATGCTAATCAAGGCTAATCAACCTGGCTAGTTGCAGCCTGGAGGAATACTTTGGTTGTAGGTGTTAACTGGCCCCGATTGACTATTGTCTGGCATTTCCCTGTTTGGTGGTTGTTCTTTATTTACTGTTATGATTTTACAGGTTTTTTTAAAATACTGGTCACTAGATTTTGTTCACTTTCATGGTTTCCTACTTTTTGTTGAAATCGTCCACATGCTTGTGGATTTCAATGGCTTCCCTGTGTAGTCTGACGTGGTAGTTGTTAGAGTGGTGCAGCATTTATGTGCTCTCAAATAATACGCTGTGTCCAGGTTGGTTCATCAGGTGCTCTGCTAGGGCTGACTTCTCTGGTTGAAGTAGGCTGCAGTGCCTTTCATGTTCCTAGATTCGTGATTAGACAATGTAGATTTGTCCATAGCTGCATGATATATGGTTGACTCCTGCAGAGGTGAGGATCCCTCTTGTCCTTTGCTGGATGTAGCATTTGTTGGATTTTCTTAGTGGCTCTATAGATAGTGTGTAGATTATGTTTCTTCATCAGCTTCCCTATGTGGTCAGTGGTTCCCTTGATGTATGGTAAGAACACTTTTCCTCTGGGCGGATCTTTGTCTTTACTCCCGTGCCATGTTCTTGGTCCTGCCGCTCTTCTGATGCCTGCGGTGGAGTATCCATTGGCTTGTAAAACCCATTTAGGTGGTTCAGTTCACCTTGGAGGAGGTGGGATTCACAAATTGTTTTTTGCACAATCAGCCAGGGCTTTCATTGTGCTTTTTTTTTTACTTGGGTGATGGTTGGAGTCCAGTCGTGTCCGACTCTGGGGGTTGGTGCTCATCTCCATTTCTAAGCTGAAGAGCTGGTATTGTCTGTAGACACCTCCAAGGTCATGTGGTCGGAATGACTGCATGGAGCGCTGTTACCTTCCCACCGGAGTGGTACCTATTGATCTACTCACATTTGCATGTTTTCGTGATGACTAGGACATCTAGAAATGGCAGTTTCCCTTGAATTGGATGCTTGGGTGGATGCTATTGAGGTGATTCAGGAACTTGTTGAGTTCTTCTTCTCCATGGCTCCAAATGGTGAGGCAGTGGCTTTATGTTTGTTGTTGTTGTGTGTCTTTAAGTTGTGGCAATCCTAAACGTAACCTATCATGGGTTCTCTTTGCAAGATTTGTTCAGTGGGGTATCGCTTTTGCCTTTCTCTGAGTAGGTATCTATCTGTGTGTGTAGGTTTTCTGTTTTTCAAGCAGACAAGAGTTCTTTCTCCTACCCTCACCTGCCTAGTTTCCAACGGACCGCACAACCTCTGAGGATGCCTGCTGCAGATGCAGGCAAAATGTCAGGAGAGAATGCTTCTGGAATATGGTCATACAACCTGGAAAACTCACAGCAACCCAGTGATTCCAGCCATGAAAGCTTTCTACATCATATCATCTACCTGCATATAAATGGAAAAATGGGAAACCCAAGGGGAAACTCTCTGCCTGTTAAGCTCCTGCAATGTCTTCTTTCCCTCCTTCAGGAGAAACTCTTGAGATCTTACAACTTTCACGATTTTCTTCAGTTTGTGCAAAAATAGAGGCAGGGGAAAAAAAGAGTATTGATTTCACGCAGCTCACACAAAGGAAGGCGTGCTGCACTCACCATAAAAATGACAACAAGTCCCCTCAGGAGCGGGGGGGGGGGGCGAGAAGAGAACCCATTACCCCGCACAGTGCAGTACAATAGGCCCTCTCCCCCGACCCCCACCCTTTGCCACCTAGGCACACCCTTAGCGCACATTCTGGTCTAGTTCGCTGCTTTTGTTCCCCGGGACCCATTTACCTGGGACATCTCTCCGCCGCGTACCTTCGTGGCGGTGCCCGGCTCCTCCGTGCCTCGCCTCGCATGTTGGATCCAAGGAGCCTCGCCTCCTCCGGCTTCTCCTTCTCCTTCTGGAGCGGCTTTGAGGCTGGTTTAGCCCGTCGCCACGGCAACCCCCGGCGAGGGGAGCGCGCGCCCGCGAGGGGAGCCGCGCTGATTGGTTAACGGGAAGCTGAACGTTGAGGGGAGGGGGGGGGGGAGGAGGAGGAATAAAAAAAAACCCGGCAGCAGTAGAGAAAGGGGCGGAGCTTGGCGTCTCTCGCTCAGGAAAGGCGGTTGGGCGCGTGGCGGGGAGGCACCTGCTGAGTTCGCACAGAGGAGGATGAAGGAGGGCTTATGACCACCAGCATCACCAGGAGCAGGAACAGGAGGCAGCAGCAACCACTTTCCTCGCTGGGTCAAGACACAAAGTGGCTCGCCACCATAAAAACAAGGTGACAACCACAACCATTAATATATTCAACGTTACAAGGCACGACTATTATTATTATTATTATTATTATTATTATTATTATTATTATTATTATTATTATTTTACTGACACAAAAACACAGTATGACACTGCTGCAGGCCAGGAAGCTGCCTGACTTTAAACACCACACAGCAAATAAAATGCAAGGAGTTTATTAAAGATCATTAAAAGTAGTAGCAGTAAAAAGCAACCCACAAAAACAGGTAAATCCAATTAGGTACAAAGGAAAGATAGGAGCAACAAATCCAGGAAATAGTCCATCAGAGTTCATGACAACAAATACTGGAACTTACATGGCAAAACCCCAAAACTTGTGTATGAATCAAACAAGGTGCTGCAGCATGGAAATTACAAGGTACTTGAAAAAGGAATCTATCCAAGGCAAGGCTTTCAGGGGCCTGAGATGACATTTTGACTCAATTTCAACATTGCTTTGTCTGACTACAGATTCTGTACTTGGCACTTTTATCCCCTAATCTACTCTATATCCCAAGTGGTCAGGAACGGATTTCGTCTCAGCCTTGAATCTGCTATCAGTCTCTCCTGCAATCTGGCAGAGTGCCTAAGAGCCTGGTTTGTTTTTTTCTTTTCTGACTGAAAGCATTTCTCCTATCTACTGGCTCATTAATTCTCATTAATTTCTGCAGCTGGCCCAGGTGCTGAGCCTTTCTCTGGCTCAAAGCCTTGGGAATTCTCTGGTAGCAATTCAGGCCCAGGGAACAGACCATCATCCCCAAACCCTTCAGGAACATTCTCATCAGAAAAGTCACTTTGAACAGGAATCCCATTGTCATTCTCTGCATCTAAAGCAACCTCATCATCATGGTCACTCCCAACATCCAGAGTACCCTGATCATTAGACACAATCACAGGCTGAACTCCAACAGATACAGAAAACAAGACATGTATGCTGGACTTCGTATCACAAAATCAGAGTGCTCTGTATGCAGGGTGAACTACAACTCCCACGCAGGGGGGTTGGTCCCCCACAAACACCTCCAGTATGTTCTGTTGGTCACCAGGGTTGTGTGTCCCAAGTTTGGTCCAGGTCTGTCACTTGTGGGGATCACAGGGGTCTGTGGAAGTGGGCAAAGGTACTGCAAATGGCATCATCTGTGGTCCATTGTCCCCTAACCCTCACACAGACTCATAGGGAGTCTGTGTACCAAATTTAGTCCAGGTGCATCATTTGTGGGGATCATAGTGGTTTCTGGAGGTGAGTGAAGATCCTGCAAATCCCATTGTCCCTAGTCCAGCCTCCCCAAACCCTCACCAGGACAAAAAGTATGCCATGGAGAGTCTGTGTGGGAAGTTTGGTCCCGGTCCGTTATGTGTGGGGATCGCAGTGGTCTCTGGAAGTGAGTAAAGGTATTGCAAGTTCCATCATCAGTGGCAAGTTTGGTCCAGATCCATCACTGGTTGGGTGCACAGTGCTCTCTGGATGTAGGTGAACTGCAACTCCTATAAATCAAGATAAATTCCCCCAAACCTGGTCATGGGGGTTCTGTGTGCCAGATGTCGTCCAGATCCATTATCGAAGGGGGTTACAGTGCTCTGCCTTGATGCAGGGTGAACTACAACTTCCATCCTATTGAATCAGTCCCCCAAACCCCTCCAGTCTGTTCAGTTGCTGATCAATTCCTCTATGTTTGCTGTGTGCCATAGGAAAGGGTAGGAAACGGATAAGGGAGAGGCAGTGAGTGGAGTCATGCAAATTCCCCACAAGGAACCCTGGGATGCCTGCCTATGGTGGAGGAAACACATCAGATCTAGGATGAAATTGTTCCTGGATGAAAGCATTCCTTGAGTGGTGGGCTGTAGTGTTTGGGGAGGACATTGGCAGTGTTTGAGCTACATGTTCATTGTGCTCGCTATAACCTGCCATGTCAGTGGAGGGAATGCCTTTGGAGGCTTCTCAGCACTTGGAACTATAGCCTGTTTGTGGAGGTGGGAGGCTCTCTGTGTAAGTGGACACCTCTGCCACATACACACATATACATAGATACGTATAGATATTATGTTATAGATTTGTAGCATCTGTCTCGATTGAGATCCAAAGTGGTTCACACTTAAGAATATGGCAAGAACAATAGTACACTCATCAATTGCAGGATTTTAAAAACATATTAACCATTATGATCATTTTTTATTTATCATGTCAGAAACAAATTGAGGATAAAGTTATATAGAAAAACCACAAACAAAGTTAACATCTTGACATTATACTATATTTGCTTTGACCAGAAGCTGGCCACTTGGAGTGCTTCTGGTGTCACTGTGAGAAGGTCCTCCGTTGTGCATCTGGTAGGGCTCAGGCTGTATTTTAGTAGGTAGTCTCTGGTTTGCTCTTCTCCGCACTCACATGTCATGGACTTAACTTGGTAGCCACATTTCTTAAGATTGGCTCTGCACTTCGTGGTGCCAGAGAGCAACCTGTTCAAAGCCTTCCAAGTCACCCAGTCTTCTGTGTACCAAGGAGGGAGATAAGGGCTCTATTATCATTACCCAGATTTCTTCAAATCTAAGATGCCATAAACTGTAAGACTCAAACAGATTTCAGCACTGCCAATAGAAAAAAGCTCTATTTATATATAAATAGGGCCCTTCCACACAGGCATTTAACCCAGAATATTAAGACAGAAAATCCCACAATATCTGCTTTGAACTGGGTTATCTGAGTCCACACTGCCAATATATTCCAGTTCAAAGCTGAATTGTGGGATTTTATTCAGCTGTGTGGATGAGACCTGAGATCTAAGACACACCCCATTTTAGAGATGCCTATATGAGAGGAAAAGTGCTTATTATAATCAAAGAAAGGGGGATTTGTTATTACCGTACTTTCCTCTCTTGATTGAGACCCAAAGAAGCTGACAATACAATTAAGCATAGAATTATGAAAACAAGTCAGTTAAAATCACATTAAAACAAGTAAGTTAAAAAATGTTCTAAGTTTCTACTTATTTGTTTTAATGTAATTTTAACTGACTTGTTTTCATAATTGTATATTTAATTCTATTTTAATATTAATGCTTGCAATAATTTACTTTAATTAATTCGTTATAGAGCAGGATAGGGTGAGGTTGGCTAAAACTTTTTGTTAGATTACAATATAAATTGATCCAAAGGCTCGTTTTCCTTGAATACATTTTTGATTAGAGTGTTCCTTATTATAGGTTGAATATCCATTATCTGAAATACTTGGGACCAGAAGTATTTTAAATTTGGGAGGTTGGAAGGAGGTGTGTGGAATGCCTGAATTTGCACATATGTTGGAGATGGCATCTAAATCAAATATGGACTTCACTCAGGTAGAGTTCAACAGCTGATACCTCGCTGGTGTACCTGAATCAGCCTTCCTCCACCTGGTGATTTCCAGACATGGTAGAGATATTATTGTCCTCTGTCTCCCCCTGGTGATTGGGATGCCTTCTCACCTCGCCCAACATCTTCACCTAATCAGAGGTTCTCAGCCTGAGGGTCCCCAGATATTTTGGCCTTCAACTCCCAGAAATCCTAACAGCTGGTAAACTGGCTGGGATTTCTGGGAGTTGTAGGTCAAAACACCTGGGGACCCACAAGTTGAGAACCACTGACCTAAATAATAATCTGGCAAGGAAGCTTTTTTGGCCACCATAGTCAGTCTCCTTGAGCCTCCTTCTGTACAACAGCTGTCTAACTTTTCATTTTCAGTACCATCTCCCACATTACAGTCAGCCCTCCACATTTGCAGTCTAACATTTGCAGATTTGATTATTCACAGATTTAATTAATATGTAATCTCTAGGAATCTCTAGGTTTTCCAGTGCAACACTATAGGCAATCTTTACTGTAAGTTGATCATAGTCATGCTGCAGAATGTAAAGATTTCTACAGAAGTAAAAAAAAAATAGTGGTTTTTATATTCATTGTTTTTGTATTTTCATGTGGGGCCTGTGCCCTTATTCCCACAAATGTGGAGAGCCCGCAGTACTTTTAATTTGTCTACCAGAGTCACTCATAGTCTTTCCCCCATGTCTTGGATCTCAGCTTGCTTCCCATCATAGGCCCTTCTCCAGATCAGCGTTTAGGGAATTGCTCATTTGCTGCCCCTTCCAACAGCCTACTGTTCAACCTTCTTCAAAGCAAGCCCTGCTGTGTTGCACCTTCGCCAATTGTTATTCATCCTTTCACATACATTTGTTCATTATTCCTATCTGAAGAAGGGCTGCAGTCTGACACAGCTTCTTCCACTCCTGAGAGTGCAATAACCTCAGCAGGTATTTTGGTCAGGGATTAAAATCCTCTCTCAGCATTGAAGAACATCTGTGATGAGCAGATTCTCCATATGGCTAAGTTGCTTAGTGTTCAAGTGAAACCATCCTGCTTTCCAGTTATGGATCAGGTTTTGGGGAAGCAGCACTGCCTATATATCGTACAAGCAGTTCCCAAGTTACAAACAAGATAGGTTCTTGTTCTTAAGTTGAATTTGTATGTCAGTTGGAACAGTTACATTTTTCACTGTAACTCCAGCCTGTGTGTGTGTATTTGCTTTTGATAGCAAAATAAAGGGTTAACATCCCTGTGGTGTCTTGTTTGTTGTCTGTGCTCCTGTTCTGAGGACTTCACCTCACTTTCTGTCACTGTGATAATTGGATTTTGAAAAATT